GAAGTAGGTTGACTCCAGGCACAGTTTGAGGAGTTGGCACACTTGTTCTGTGGAAAGTGTGGTTCTGCTGCTGAGAGTGMTGTCTGATTTCAATCTTGCACAGACCACATCCACTGCCTTATCAACAGGAACGCACGTGAAGAGCGATGTAACATCAAAAGAGACCATAGTTTCATCCGTCTCCATGATGACATCCCTCATCTTGTCAACAAAGTCCATAGTGTTCTGTATGTGATGTTCTGAGCTGCCAACTAAAGGACCAAGTATGGACYTCAGATATTTAGAAACATTGTAAGTGACAGAGTTGATCATGCTGACAATGGGTCTTACCGGTACATCCTGTTTGTGAATTTTGGGTAAACCATACAGACTAGGAGTGGCCTCAAATGGGTAAAGTCTGGGTAAAGTTTGGGCACCCCTGGTCTACAGGAAAACTGGGAGTTGGGTTGCATGTGACCAGACTGTGACATTTTAATGAAACTTACATGATGTAGTTTATCATATTTCTACCATTGATTAACTTTCAGAGCCAAGCCAGTTCAAGATGGTCCCCCATGTGACCAGCTTCAGAAAAAAACAATTGGTCTATTTGAGTCTATTTTACACACAGTGTGCTAAAGTTTGGTGTGGTAGCAGCTGTCAATCAATCACATCTTAAAGTCTCAGTGTGACATCTTCTAGTAGTGACTAACGAGTTTGATTACTGCTATTTTCAAAGTTTGTCCAAAATGTTCCAACTCAGTTATTTCTAAACTTTAGATAAAAGTTAATGTGTTTTTTGACGTCATCATTCCAAATCCGGAAAAAAAAAAACCATAATCAAATCCAAGCAAACCTCTCATATACATATAATAAATAATGTCAGTGTTAAGGTGACCAGCAGCACAGCTTTAGGAAAATAAACTGATAAATACATGAGAAATCAATGAGTTTTTGAAAAGCAAAATGACAACAGTATAATTTCTCAACTCTTTTATAGATTTTCCAAATCTTCACCCGTCCAATATAATTCTTTATAAGGGTTAAACCATTGAGAAATATCCTAAACATTTATAGATCAGACCAGCGCCCTCTGAGCAACAATGAGCTGCAGCTGAGTCGCTTTTTGAACAAATTACATAAAATCAAGCTTTTTTTTCTAAACTTCAGTAGAATAATGTGTAACTTTTTGTGTAACCTTCAATTGCTTATTTAAAACAGGAACTTGTGACACTGTGTTGACATTTAAAGTCACCTCGGCCTGGCTGTGAGTGGTAATTGAATCAACAAAAACACAAGTTAACATTAAAGTTTTTTTTTTATTCACAGCCTGCATGGAAAATACTGAGCAGTTTTTTTATTATTATTTTTTTATTTGAGCAAGTTTTGTAGCATAAAAATATTTCTGTAGTAGGACATACTGTAATAAACATTATTTTAACAGCACTTAAAGTAGAAATGGGAGAACAGGCATTAGAGTTGAGAAGAACACAAACTACTGGATCACTTTAGGATCATCCAACATTAGACATTTTAAAACCATGCTGGGAAAAAGAGAAAAGGGAAAACAGAAGCTTTGGGTGGGTGATTCTAAGTGCTTGATGTTGTATATTGTCCAMTTTTTCCAGATGAGTTTTTGCTGCTGATGCATATATTATTCTGCCATAATCTATATTTGATCGTATCATTCCTGTGTATATTTTCTTTAATGCTTTCTGTCTGCTCACCGTTCTTATCCTGCTAAACATCTCATTATATTTGACTTTCTTACATTTATCAATAATTTTTTGGATGTGAATGTTCCATATTACTTTTACATCAAAACCATATTCCTAAAAATCGTACACTGTTTACCCACTCTTTATCTTGTCCATACATTTTCAACACTTTTAGTTCTGTAAGTCTTTTTTGAGTAAATATCGTTGCCTTTGTTTTCCCCACTGGGAATTGAAACTCCCATTCATACGCCCATTTCTATATGTTATTTATAGCTTTTTGTATCCAGTTTGTGTTCCTGTGTAGTTTCTCATTTCTCCCTCAGTCAGCCACTCACACCTGTTGCCACTCCCTAATCAGCCCACCTGCCTCCCATCTCTCATCAGTCTGACTCTATAACTCCTGAGTCTTTAACTTTGCTATCGTCCAGCTCAACTTGTTGGGAATCTTTTTCACTTCTCTGCCAGACTGGATGTGTGCCAACCTCCCCTCCTGAGGTTATCAGTTCATTGTTCTCAGGTCCAACTGAATAAATACTGAGTGTGTGTCTCCTGCCTCCTCAGTTTCACTGAACACCAGAATTAAACCATGCTGTACTTCAGCTCTGCTCTTTGTAAGTACATTTGTAG